TGAGGCTGGATTTATCCCATCCGTGGATGCTCACTAAAGTACGCTACTGTCCTATTACATGTAATACAGTGTGAGGCTGGATTTATCCCATCCGTGGATGCTCACTAAAGTACGCTACTGTCCTATTACATGTAATACAGTGTGAGGCTGGATTTATCCCATCCGTGGATGCTCACTAAAGTACGCTACTGTCCTATTACATGTAATACAGTGTGAGGCTGGATTTATCCCATCCGTGGATGCTCACTAAATTATGCTATTGTCCTATTGGATGTAATACAATGTGAGGCTGGATTTATCCCATCCATGGATGCTCATTAAAGTACGCTACTGTCCTATTACATGTAATACAGGGTGAGGTGAACATATTATTTGTTTGTTTGTAATATTTTGTTTCTCACAGCTTATCTACTTTATGGTGAGGAAAAAAACATTTAGTTGTATATTCTTGAGCAACTCTACAAAAATATTATTATCAAACAATGACTGTGGACCATTATTAATATGTGAAAAGTTACTACAACTCACATTTAGGCAAAAATTACTTAGAATTTCCTGAAAATGATGAGATTTTCTTGTCCAGGAATAAATAAAAAACAATAAGGAATATTATACTATTTATAATTGGACCTAAATATCTTAACGGAATGTGGCAAATTTCCTACCTGATTGGGTATACCTTTAAAACTTCACTGATGACAAAACATTTTGTGTTTGGGAAATCTGTAGACCCTGGGTATACCTTTAAAACTTCACTCATGACAAAACATTTTGTGTTTTGGAAATCCGTAGACCCTGATGTACTTGGTCTTACTTGAAATATTTTTCTACTTGTGAAAATAAAATGTAGCTTATTTTCTACATTAGAGAACGGTGTTATAAAGAAAATGTAAAAATTAATTTGTAAACGTTACGATGAGAGAAGTATAACCTAGGAATGTATGAATAACGAGCAGATTTTGTACTACAATATATAGGATTACAGCACCTGATCAACAGTTCCTTCAAAACTGTTTCCTGATGTGTATATATAATAAATACTACACTAAAACGTAACCTCAGGAAAACAAGGGCCAAAATAACTCAAAAAGAAGTTATTGATAACAGCACAGCTAAACCTACTCATTTTATAAGTAAATCTTTCATGAATGTTTCCACTGAGTGCTTTAATATTAGCCTTAACGAATAAATAGACTTGACATACAAAAGTAGGCTTAACTGATGTATTACTACCAATAGACCTGACATACAAAGGAAGGCTTAACTGCTGATGTATTACTACCAATAAATAAACTTGACATACAAAAGTAGGCTTAACTGATGTATTACTACCAATAGACCTGACATACAAAGGAAGGCTTAACTGCTGATGTATTACTACCAATAAATAAACTTGACATACAAAGGAAGGCTTAACTGGTGTATTACTACCAATAAATAGACATGAAATACAAAGGAAGGGTTAACTGATGTATTACTACCAATAAATAAACTTGACATACAATGGTAGGCTTAACTGATGTATTACTACCAATAGACCTGACATACAAAGGAAAGCTTAACTGATGTATTACTACCAATAAATAGATTTGACATACAAAGGTAGGCTTAACTGCTGATGTATTACTATTAAATTTTAGTTTAAAAGTTATTTCAGAGCACTAGAAGTGTTACTTGTAACAAGAACAGCTCGAAGCTTCATTCTAGTGAACCGAATCGAGATTTAAACTATTTTTATCCACTTCATTCAACTATAAGGATACAAAACTCTCCTACAACCATTAAATATTTCAGCAACAGATCTCGAAGGAAGTACATCTACGTAGCAATCTAATGATTATGTTCATCAACATTCAAAATACTCGTTAATGTATAAAAAAATCAGTATCAATGATATTCGTAACAATTAATTCTATTTCAATACAAACAGTGCCTATTTGTTTTTAAAACATCATGTTGAAATTCAGTTTAATATGTCATTAAATAATTTCTCTCACAAACTATCAACCAGTATTGTTATATTCAGGCTACATTTTTTTTTCTTTCGTCTCTCTCTCATTTACTACATGTCGTTTTAATCTAACATTTATGTACCATAAAAAAATTTTCTTTGAAAATATAAATACATAACAGATCAAGGGAAAAGCCTCCCTAAATTTACTTACACTACTTATAATTTATCAAGTGTAAACTAACATACACATACTCAGAATTCAAGTAGTTTTCAGGAGCAACTGATACTGATCATTATTTACACTCGTGGAAAACATCTCACCTCTTGTATATACAAGATATATACACACAAACATGTTCCGCTGATTACGTTACATATATTCACGACTTTATTTACATCCTGTTGTCTTCATTGTCACCTTTTCACTGGAGTTATTTTGTTTTTTCCTTTAGAATCTGTGATGTCTTCGGAAGAAAAGCGGGGCGATCGTGAATGAAGTTTCTTAAGAACAGAAGAGAGCTGGTTGTCAGGAAAAAGGATTTCCAATATTCCTTCCAGAAGGACATACATGAGCCGTCGATTCAACTCAGGGTGTTGGAACATCTCAAATACACAGAGAAGGCCTTTGCGAGTTGTTTCACTTCCAATAATGTGTTTCAGCTCATCTGTTAGACACACACAATAAAAGTTCCCACAGATTAACAATGTGTCTTGAACAGAACCACACTAGACATGTACAATAAAACTTTACACAGATTAACACTGTGTCCTCGACAGAACCACACTAGAAATACACACTAAATGTTTCCATAGATTAACATAGTGTCTTGAACAGAACCACACTAGACATGTACAATAAAACTTTACACAGATTAATACTGTGTCTTCGACAGAACCACACTAGAAATACACACAATGTTTCCATAAATTAACATGTCTTGAACAGAACCACACTAGACATGTACAATAAAAGTTTCCAGAGATTAACATATTGTCTTGAACAGAACCACACTAGACATGTACAATAAAACTTTCCACAGATTAACTCTGTCTTTGACAGAACCACACTAGACATGTACAATAAAACTTTCCACAGAACCACACAAGACATGTACAATAAAAGTTTCCACAGAACCACACTAGACATGTACATTAAATTTCCACAGAACCACACTAGACATGTACATTAAGTTTCCACAGAACCACACTAGACATGTACAATAAAAGTTTCCACAGATTAACACTGTCTTCAACAGAACCACACTAGACATGTACAATAAAACTTTCCACAGAACCACACAAGACATGTACAATAACACTTTCCACACAACCACACTAGACATGTACAATACAGGTTTCCACATATTAACACTGTGTCTTCAACAGAACCACACTAGACATGTACAATAACACTTTCCACAGAACCACACTAGACATGTACAATAACACTTTCCACAGAACCACACTAGACATGTACAATACAGGTTTCCACAGATTAACATAGTGTCTTCGACAGAACCACACTAGACATGTACAATAAAACATTCCACAGATTAACACTGTGTCTTCCACAGAACCACACTAGACATGTACAATACAGGTTTCCACAGATTAACACTGTCTTCAACAGAATCACACTAGACATGTACAATAAAACTTTCCACAGAACCACACTAGACATGTACAATAAAACTTTCCACAGAATCACACTAGACATGTACAATAACACTTTCCACAGAATCACACTAGACATGTACAATAACACTTTCCACAGATTAACACTGTGTCTTCGACAGAACCACACTAGACATGTACAATAACACTTTCCACAGAATCACACTAGACATGTACAATAACACTTTCCACAGATTAACACTGTGTCTTCGACAGAACCACACTAGACATGTACAATAAAACTTTCCACAAATTAACAGTGTCTTCGACAGAACCACACTAGACATATACAATAAAACTTTCCACAAATTAACAGTGTCTTCGACAGAACCACACTAGACATGTACAATAAAACTTTCCAAAGATTAACACTGTGTCTTCGACAGAACCACACTAGACATGTACAATAAAACTTTCCACAGAACCACACAAGACATGTACAATACAGGTTTCCACAGATTAACACTGTGTCTTCGACAGAACCACACTAGACATGTACAATAAAACTTTCCAGAGATTAATTTTGTGTCTTGAACTGAGCCCCACCTGTGTCCAAATATTTACTTTCAGACATTTAATAGGATCTATAAATTACCAAACAAATGGGGTTACATTACTATTTCTATTATTGGATACTACATATTGTAATTTATTTCTTAGCTAGAGGGAGGTGCAGCTCACTGATGATAATGTTAAGTTAGAGAAGTTAAGATAAACCACGAGCTTCTAGAAAACTATAAGAACATAATACAATGTGTTCTAGAACTTTCAAATGTAGATTATAAATAGGACATTCTGTTATTTGAGTTGAAGGTAATCATCTCAGGACAAAGTCTATAAAAAACATTAATCAATTATTGTCACTATATAACAAGATATGAAGTTGGTTTGGTTGGCCACTCAGTCAGTAAGAGGTGTCAGAAGCTTGTTAGGTTGGCCACTCAGTCAGTAAGAGGTGTCAGAAGTTTGTTAGGTTGGTCATTCATTCAGTCAGTAAGAGGTGTCAGAAGTTTGTTAGGTTGGCCACTCAGTCAGTAAGAGGTGTCAGAAGTTTGTTAGGTTGGCCACTAAGTCAGTAAGAGGTGTCAGAAGTTTGTTAGGTTGGCCACTAAGTCAGTAAGAGGTGTCAGAAGTTTGTTAGGTTGGCTACTCAGTCAGTAAGAGGTGTCAGACATTTGTTAGGTTGGTCATTCACTCAGTAAGAGGTGTCAGACATTTGTTAGGTTGGCCACTAAGTCAGTAAGAGGTGTCAGAAGTTTGTTAGGTTGGTCATTCACTCAGTAAGAGGTGTCAGAAGTTTGTTAGGTTGGCCACTCAGTCAGTAAGAGGTGTCAGAAGTTTGTTAGGTTGGTCACTCAGTCAGTAAGAGGTGTCAGAAGTTTGTTAGGTTGGCCACTCAGTCAGTAAGAGGTGTCAGAAGTTTGTTAGGTTGGCCACTCAGCCAGTAAGAGGTGTCAGAAGTTTGTTAGGTTGGCCATTCAGGGACACCTCTTACTGACTGAGTGGCCAACCTAACAAACTTCTGACACCTCTTACTGACTGAGTGGCCAACCTAACAAACTTCTGACACCTCTTACTGAAGAAGTTTGTTAGGTTGGCCATTCAGTCAGTAAGAGGTGTCAGACATTTGTTAGGTTGGTCACTCAGTCAGTAAGAGGTGTCAGACATTTGTTATGTTGGTCACTCAGTCAGTTAGAGGTGTCAGAACTCTAAGTTGGTTCTTATATCAACCATTTAGCAAATTTCTGAAAGATTTATTAACAATGGGAAGGAAATGCACAATCAAATACCAAAACTAACAATTTTTATTGAAAAGTTATAACACTATTCTAAGTAAATTAGGCCTAATGAGATTATTTTATACATAAATACATACAAACCATATTTAGTTACCTTCTTTAACTGTGCAGCTTTATGCTAGACTGATATTTTAAGTATTAAAAAACATTTCTAGAACGACGTGGCATTTATGCTTAAAAATAAAAAGATGTTGTTCGGAGAAGATCAAAAGGATGTTGTTCGGAGAAGATCAAAAGGATGTTGTTCGGAGAAGATCAAAAGGATGTTGTTCGGAGAAGATCATAAGGATGTTGTTAGGAGAAGATCATAAGGTTGTTGTTAGGAGAAGATCAAAAGGATGTTGTTAGGAGAAGATCAAAAGGATGTTGTTAGGAAAAGATCAAAAGGATGTTGTTAGGAGAAGATCATAAGGTTGTTGTTAGGAGAAGATCATAAGGATGTTGTTAGGAGAAGATCATAAGGATGTTGTTAGGAGAAGATCAAAAGGATGTTGTTAGGAGAAGATCAAAAGGATGTTGTTCGGAGAAGATCAAAAGGATGTTGTTAGGAGAAGATCAAAAGGATGTTGTTAGGAGAAGATCAAAAGGATGTTGTTAGGAGAAGATCATAAGGATGTTGTTAGGAGAAGATCATAAGGATGTTGTTAGGAGAAGATCATAAGGATGTTGTTAGGAGAAGATCATAAGGATGTTGTTAGGAGAAGATCATAAGGATGTTGTTAGGAGAAGATCATAAGGTTGGTTGCCAAAAACTGAAGACAACAGATGTGGTGAAATTTTAGTTTTTTTTTGCCCTGACACTGTCTTAAAATGTTAAACTTATTCAATACATGTCACATACTTTCTAGAGTAAAAATCTTAACTGAGCCTAAGTTAATTATGGATACGATTAACCTGAGAGATTAAGTTTCATGAAGTTTTTATTCTTTTATTATTATCACTTAGTTCAAATTGTGTTCTCAGAGCTTAACTTTTAGTCCTTATTTTGAATACCGTTTTAATCACCCCACCTGAGATACTACATAACATAACCATCTTGGTAGCAATTCGAGTCCTTAATTTTGTATTGGTGTCTCGCTCTGGTGAAGGAAGAGCCAGTGAACCATTTGGCCAAAAGTTTTGTCTATGATAGGAAAAAACACAACAATCATTTTTACTTTCTTAGACTGTGTTTGATTCCAACTTTAAAAATAAGTACTTTCAACGTACGTAATTAAGTTGATTTTGCACAAGTAAACGGATTGACATTATGTTAGTCCTAGTGCTTTAGACTTGCTCCCCAATACAAGTTAGAAAATACCCTATAAACAACAACCACAATTAAAGTTTTATAAAAATCAACCTGGAAAACACTTGACGGAATAATCATTTTCTAACATATGAATGAAGCTGATTTAGAAAACACTGAATTTATTTAATAGAAGACTTTTATTAAAGTGTTTTCAGGTACTGTTGCACGTTCAGTAATTAAACAACATTCAGGGAGTACTTTGATCTTCAGTACATCACATGCTTTAACTGAAAAACAAATCATGATAGTTTTTCAAGAACGGTTCTGTCAGAATTATAAAATCTGTTCTTTATTAATTGTCAAAATAAAAAGGCTTTTGGTTATA